CTTGATTACTAAATCTATACATCTTAAGTCAACAGGACTGGGCTAATTGTTGTGTTGTTGTGTCCTTGTCCCAGACAGTGTCCTTATCACAGGTGTCCTCCTGTTGTGGATTTATGCCAGTTGTGTTCAAAGTGACCACATTAAGGGATAAAGTCCCAGGGAATCAGGAAAAATAAAAATAAAGCCATCATCTCAGGCATGAATAACCCCAGCAGTGCTCTTAGAGAGGAAGCCCTGGTAGGAAACACTGCCAAGGTTCTCATTCCCTTTCCTGGCCTCCATTATTACTTGCCTGCTCTTTTTCAGGCCCCATTTAGGGCTTTCATCTCTTTCTGTGCTTTGTTAATTACCGCTCTCCCAGCCAGAATCCTGTTGGTCTGGGGATGACAGAGGTACAAAGCAGGAAGATAGATGCAGTCGCAGGTTTTTCCCAAGACCGTGGAATGGTAGAGGCAAGAACATACCCAGTTTTGTTCTCTTTGTTTGTGCCTCCGCCAGGATGCCTCATGCTGCTTGCTCCGGGCAAGCCCTGTGGCCTCTGTCACTGTGTGGGGTGGACAGACTGGGACATGTACTCTTCCTTTTTCTAAGGGAGGAATCTCATTTTAGGTTGGTTGAGGCGTCAGCTAACAATTCAGGCCCAATTACATGAGACTTGCTGATAAAGGTCAGAAAGCCAAAGGAGAGGGAGTTACCAGTAAAAGGAAATCCTACTGGTTGTCAATAATTACAAAATGCCAGGGCTGATACAGCACCTGAGCTATGGTCCATGTCCTTCAACCTTGGAATGCTTTGTTGGGGAGCAAGTTCTAGGGGCTGATTGTTCTCAAAACGTTACCTTGGGGAAGCACTGGTACCTTGTCCTCCGGAAAGAAAGATTGCTTAGTCTCAGAGACCCTCAAGCTGTGTAGAGTCTATAAGGGTCATCAAGAGTACAGTCTCTCAAAGTTTGCTGCCCACTAGAATTATTGGGGGGTTGGGGGAGGGGTGCTTTACAAAATCCAGATGCCCAGACCTCACCCCTGACCAATGACATCAGAATCCCTGGGAGTGCGCCCTAAGCATCCCTGTTGTTTAAACTCCCCAGGAGCTTCCAATGTGCAGCCAAGTTTGAGAACCTGTGAGTGGAACCACACTATTCAAAGTGTGATTGGTGAAACTGTAGCCCCACTACGGAGCTTGTTAGAAATGCACATTCTTGAGTCCCACCATAGACCTAAATAATCAGAATCTACATTTTAACAAGATCACCAGGTGACTCGTGTGCATTAAAGTTTGAGAAGCAGTTACTTTTCTTGAAGCACTGGGCAACCTGGCAACAGTGGGCCTAATCTGTTGTGGCAACTACCCACGGGAGCTGTGTAATAGTTACCCCTTTAAGAGGGGCCCCCACACTCATTTTCTTGAGTCTCACAGCTTGGGCAGGTTCATTAACATCCATTTCCTGCCTTGGCTCACTCATAATTTGAGTTGCTTTTAAATTTATTATAAAATAAAATTTATCAGGCCCTGTGGATAAAATGAGAGTTCCTGTGGCCAGGATTCTCACTGGCCCTGGTTGACTAGCTCACTGCACACCTGTGGGCAATACATGGCTGTTGACTCTATATAAAGTGCTCCACCCAGTACTCTGGGCATGACATGGTGGCAGGGCTGCAAGGCTGCAGGAGAGCAGAGCAGAGGCTGGAGTGGTGGCAGCACTTAGGACAGAGGTCCAGAGGATGGCTGTGCAGGACGACTGTGCAGAGAGGCCCGGAGGACGGCTGTGCAGACAGAGGAGCCCAGAGGCAGAGACCAGCTTGCTGCATGCAGACTCACTCTGAGTGAACAGGATTTTAGTGACTGACCTGCCACCTGGAAATAAAGTTGGGTATAATGCTTTCACCCCAAGAACGTTCTACTGTCAATTTCTTTGATCGCAGTGAGTCCATAGCAAACTTGCCTGGGGCTGAAACCCATTGGCAAGACGGGCCAACATCCAAAAGACAAACAACAACAAAGGTTGGTGAGGATGTGGAGAAAGGGGAACCCTCCTCACTGCTGGTGGGAATGCCAACTAGTTCAACCATGTGGAAAGCAGTATGGAGGTTCCTCAAAAAACTAAAAATAGAAATGCCATTTGACCCAGGAATTCCACTCCTAGGAATTTACTCCTAAGAATGCAGCAGCCCAGTTTGAAAAAGACCCCTATGTTTATCGCAGCACTATTTACAATAGCCAAGAAATGGAAGCAACCTAAATGTCCATCAGTAGATGAATGGGTAAAGAAGATGTGGTACATATACACAACGGAATACTATTCAGCCATAAGAAGAAAACAAATCCTACCATTTGCAACAACATGGATGGAGCTAGAGGGTATTATGCTCAGTGGAATAAGCCAGTGGAGAAAGACAAGTATCAAATGATTTCACTCATCTGTGGAGTATTAGAACAAAGAAAAAACTGAAGGAACAAAACAGCAGCAGACTTACAGAACCCAAGAATGGACTAACAGTTACCAAGGGAAAGGAACTGGGGAGGATGGGTGGGAAGAGAGGGATCAGGGGGAAAAAGGGGCATTACGATTAGCACACATAATGTGGGGGGTTCACAGGAAAGGTAGTATATACAGAGAAGACATGTAATGATTCTATAGCATCTTACTATGCTTATGGACAGTGACTGTAATGGGGTATGTGGTGGGGACTTGATGATGGGGGGAGTCTAGTAACCATAATTTTGTTCAAGTAATTGTACATTAATGATATCAAAATAAAAAAAGAAATAAATAAAAATAAAAATAAAGTTTATCATTAGTAACAGGCAGTACATTCACAATGCTGTGCAGCTGTTACCCTGTCTAGTCGCAGACCATTTGCATTACCCCAGAATGAAGCCCCACATTCATCTAAGCAGCTCCTCCCCAAGTCCTCTCTCCCGCCAGCCTTTGGCAGCCACTTGTCTGCTTTCTGTTATTCTGAGTGTTTCATATAAAAGGAATGCATGTTTTCAAGGTTCCTTCATGTTGTAGCATGTATCAGTACTTCCTTCCTTTTATAGCTGAATAATATTCCTTGTATGGATATATGGTATTTTGTTTATCCATTCATCATTTGATGGATATTTGGGCACTTTCAACCTTTTGGTTATTGTGAGTAGTGCTGCAATGAATACTTGCGTGCAAGTTTTTGTTTGAACACCTGTTTTCAGTTCTTTTGGGTATATGCCCAGGAGTGGAATTGCTGACTCATATGGTAATTCTGTTTAATTTTTTGAAGACCAGTCAGACTGTTTTCTATAGCAGCATCATTTTTACATTTCCACCAGTAATGTATGAGGGTTCCAGTTTCTCCACATCCTCGCCAATTCTTGTTACTTTTTTCTGCCTTAATTCTTCTAGTCATCCTACTGCATATGAAGTGGTATCTTACTGTGCTTTTGATTTGCTTTTCCCTAGTGGCTAATGATGAATATTTTTTCATGTGCTTGTTGGCCATCTGTATATCTTCTTTAGAAAAATGTCGATTTAAGTCCTTTGCTCATTTAAAAATTGGTTTATTTGCCTTTTTATTATTTTTAAGAGTTCTTTACATATTCTGGATACTAGACATATGGACTGCATATATTTTCTCCCATTTCATGAGTTGTCTTTTCACTTTCCTTATAGTGAGTGTTCTTTGCTGTATGAAAGTTTTAAATTTTGATTAAGTCCAACTTACTTAATTTTTTCTTCTGTTGTTTCTGCTATTGTTGTTACATGGAATTTGAGATTTTTATCACCTGGTCAAGGTCACTGGATAAGGACAAAGAGGGATTGGAAGAGAAACAGAATAGGGATGGCTTAAAGTCTCTATCTCTAGTTCACCAGAAGATCTGAGCTTTTACCTGCTTTATAAATTCTCCAGTTTAAATACATATATAAAGTCAATAGATTAGAACCACTAAGTTGTACTTCTCAAACTTTGACAGTTGAACACTAATGGGAAACCTCAGTATGCCAGGTTGTTCTAAAAACTAGTCCTAAATGGTATATATAATAATTAGAACTTAGTGTTCTTTGGCTTCAACCAGATTTTATTTGTAATAAAGCATACATTTTTGTAAAAGCATGCAATGTTTTGTTTGCTCCATTTGCCACACTTCTGGGGAAGCCAGGATTTAGTCCAAATCCAAACCCATTGTCTACCTGGTGGCAGCTCATCCACACTGAAGGACTATTCCATGGAAAAGATAGCCAGGCTCATGCATATCAGCCTTGGCACCAGGTGCTGCATTTGCTCTAAGTCACAGAGCAAATGAGAGGTTTAACCCAGGTGTTTTCATTTCAATTCTAAGGCTCTGTCCCCTAGGCTGTGTGTCCAAAGCGGTCAGATCAATCATCTATTGGTCTCTCTTGATTGGCACTTCTATTATTACTAGCTGCTATCATTTTTGGAAGCTTTCTATGTACCAGGCATTGTGCTGAAAGTCTCTACATTTAATCTTACCGACAACCCAGGAAGTTGTTCCGTAATTATCTTTATTTTACTACTGAAGAAACTGAACTCAAGTTAAATAGCCTGTTCAAGGTCACGCGGATGGTAAGTGTCAGTGCTAGGACTTAGCCCAGGTCTGACTCCAAAGACCATATTTTGAACTACCAAGCGAAACTATTATTGCGAAGTCGACCAGATCCTAAGAAACGATCTCTGTACGGACCCTTCTCACAGGTTAAAGGTTAGGGAGTATTCGCGTCCCCTAGGTGTGCGCAGACACCTGCCGCCGCCCCTCTCTTCTGCCTCCGCCTTTTCAAATTGCGCAGGCGCGCTCCCACTCTGCGGCCGCTCGTGGTAGCTGGGGCGGAGGCGGTGGTGGCGTCGTGCTGGGTCCGGGGCACGCTTTGGCGCCTCAATGCGCGTGCGCGGGACTAGATCCCAGTTTGCGGAGAAGGTTGCCGATGGCGGCGGCGGAAGCTTCGCCCGAGCCGGCGGCCTCGGAACCGCTGGCGGAGCTGCCTGCCTCGGTGCGGGCGAGCATCGAGCGGAAGCGGCAGCGCGCGCTGATGCTGCGCCAGGCCCGGCTGGCGGCCCAACCCTACCCGGCGATGGCGGCTGCAGCTACCGGAGGTTTGGGCCCTGGCAGCGCCTGCCCCTTTCATCCCTTGGCCGGCCGCTGCCGCATCCCGGGTGGGGCATCGACTCCCCGCGCGTCTGCGCGCAGGCCCTCCCGCAGTCCGCGGAGGAAGCCCGCTCAGCAGGCTTCGTTGAAGCCGGCTGTCCCAGACCACAGCGTGAATCTGCCGTAGAAGCCGGGCCCCCTGACTCCCAGCTCCGGGCTTTCCCTTCCGCACCTGCGGTCTTCAGCTGGGCGATGCAGCCGCCCTCACTGTCGGGAGGGGCCAGCCTATGCCTTCCCTTTGTTGTCCCGCAGTACTTTCATAGGTCCCTTGGGTGGCCCGTGTAAAAAGCTTTTAGACTTGTAACCCATTTCAGTAATAATCCTGCTCCTGTTCCCTCGTCCATCCACTCAACAAAGGGCGTTCGTATATCTTGTACCAGGAGTCGTAGGACGTGGTGTTGGCTACGTGCAGGGCGAGGGGCAAACACAGTACACAGTAACTACTGCCTTCATGGGGCTAACGAGTACCAGCTGTTGTGCTTCACAGTTTTCAGATTAACTAATTTGGTTCTAACAGTTAACCTCAAAAATAATTAGGACATTATTTAGCGTCAGGGTTTTGCCGAGGTGGTAACTGAGGACCATCAAAGGAAAGGGGTTTGCTTAGGTTCATCCTAGCAAATGCACAGGCCAATCAAGACTAGAGTTAAGGTCATCTGGCATTGGGTTCAGGCGTCGTTCCTTGCCAGTAGCTGCCTCTGCTGTACTAGCTGTACTGTACTTCTCATTGCACTCCTGGTCATTCCAGTCATCTGCCACATTACTCATGAAAGTCATAATCTGGCATGTTCATCCATTTCTATCCATACAGGAGATATTCATGGATGCTTAACTGTCAGAATTACAGAAGTAAAAGCACTCAGTGTAATGGAGGGATATAAAGTGATGAGCAGGCAATAAAGTATATAGCATGAGAATTGCTGTTAACAGTAGAGATGGGCTAATAATTCAATCCCTTTTTTTAGTAGATGAAGAAATTGAGGCCAGAGAGAGTGACTTAAGATAATGCTAGATTTTTTAAGTGAGTCATAACATACAAACATTAATATATAAAGTGCACTCATCTGAATCTTGTAAATATTCTTGTAAACACCACAGTGATTAATAGACACTTCCAGCACTTTATGTTGCCCTAATGCCATATCCTACTCAACTATGCACCCTTACAAGTAATTACTGCTCTGACCATTTGATTGGTATTATCTTCTTTTGAACTTCAGATTAATGAAATCATACAGTGTTTGGCTTCTTTTTCTCAACGTAATATCTGAGGGAATCATCGTGTTACATGTGTTGTTGCCTCTGTTGATTGCTCTTTTATATGTCGTATGGCATCCTCTATTATTACACTGCAGTTTTTCTATTTCCTTTTGGTAGATATTTGGTTTTTTTCCAGTTTGGGTTTATTGTGGGGAAAACCTTTGAGCATCCTTGTCTGTGTCTTTTGGTGGATGTATGCACTCATTTCTATTGTGCGTATGCTTGGGGATGGCATTGTTGGGTCATAGGGAAGGCGTATGTTTAGCTTTACTAAGTCTTGTCCAACAGTGATTTCAGGTGACCCTTGAACAACATGGGTTTGAACTGTGTAGGTCATTTTACACGTGAATTTTTTCCAATAAATATACTGGAACATTTTTTGGAGAATACGGTTTGAAAAACTCATAGGTAAACTGTGTAAGCCTAGAAATACTGAAAAAGTTAAAAAGTTTGTTATGTCACGAATGAATAAAATATATGTAGATACTAGTTTATTATTTACTATCATAAAATCAACAGTAGGCTGTTAGTTATTGGGGAGTCAAAAGTCAGCAGATATTTGTGCGTATGGGGTCAGCACCCCTAACTCTGCATCAGTTTAAAATCTGACCAGTGATGTGTGACAGTTCTGGTTTCTCCACACCCTTACCATTTGGTATTGTCGGTCTTTTTCACTTTGGAGGTTCTGGTGGGAGTGTAGTGATATTTCATTATGTTTTAATTAGTATTTTTCCTGATGACTAATGATACCTTTTTCATGTGCTTACTAGCTGTATGGATATCCTCATTTGTGAAGTCTCTATCGAGGTCTTCTGCCTATTTTAAGTTGGGTAATTTGTCTCTTGCTGATTTACAGGATTCCATTACATATTTTGGATTTGAGTCCTTTGTCAGATAATACCTTTCACAAATAGCTTCTTCCACTTTGCGTCCTGTCTTTTCACTCTCATAATGGTGTCTTTTGATGAATAGAAGTTCTTAATTTTAATCAAGTCCAGTTTAAGAAATTTTTGGCTACCTCAAGTTCAGTTTTTCTGTTTTCTTTAGAAGCTTGTTTTTTTTTCACATTCAATACTATGATCCATTAAAATGTGTGTGTGTACTACATGAAGTAAGGTCAAATTTCATTTATTGAAAAGATCATCTTTTCCTCACTGTTTTAAAGTGGTAACTTTGTCATAAATCCCAGCACCATTTACTAAAAATATTCTTTTCCTCTCAAAGATTATCAGTTCCATAGTTGCTTTGGAGCCTTTGCCATAAATTAAATAACCAAATATGTATAGGTCTATTTTAGGACTCTGTCTTATATTCCACTGGTCTCTTTGTATTGGTACCACACTGTCTTAATACTGGAGATTTATAGTTAACCTTTAAGTCTAGTAGGGTTAATGATCCAGTTTTGTTCTTCGAATCATCTTGGCTATTCTCAGTGCTTTGTAGTCACATTAAATGTTAAGAGCCCAGTTGTCAGCTCTCAACCTCACCTCTCCAGCCGCCTGTAACTGGCTGGGATCACACTGAATCTTTAGATAAATTTGGGGAGAATTGACATCTTTACAGTATTGAGGCTTCCAGTCTGTACATGGTATATTTCATATTTATTTCAGTTGTTGATTTCTTAGTGGTGTTTTCAGTGGAGAGGTTTCATACATCTCTTTCTAGGTGTTATTTCATAATTCTAATTGTAGGTTTGTGTGGATATCTTATGGGTGTAATATTATCATCTGTGATAAAGGCTTTTTATTTCTTTTCAACTTTTATGCCTGTTTTGTTTTCTTGCCATAGTGCACTAGCTGTACATGTGTGTGTTCAGTATGATGTTGAATAGAAGTAGTAATAGTGGACATCTTTGTCTTGTTTAGTAGATTTAAAGAAAGTTCATGTTTATGCACAGGGGGACATAGGGGCTTACCTAGTTAAATTGTTGACTACTTTTACATACTTTTTGTAGGTATGACTAATGTAAAAGCAGCTCCAAAGATCATTGACACAGGAGGAGGCTTTATTCTGGAAGAGGAAGATGAAGAACAGCGTACAATTGGAAAAGTTGTTCATCAACCAGGTAAAGTGTATTTTCAGAAAGTAGGTATCAAGATGGTCATTTTGCGTAACTTAATTCTTTGCAAATATGTTAAATCATGCCACACTTACTTTAGTAAGTGAACAGGTTAGTTTTACACGACTGATGAAGTCAGACAGTTTTGCTAGTAGATTAAAAATTAAACAGATTTGGCAATGTCTAATGAAACCTGTGGTTTGTGTTCTTAAGGTTGATGCTCTCTGTTTTTTTATAATAGGCAGAGACAACCAGTATATTGACTGACAGAACAAATACCCAAAGCTATTTTGAGAGGCTAAAAAATAAGGGGCTAGAATCTGAGAGATAAATTTAGGACATTCTTTTATTTATGTTTGGAGAAAAACAAGTGGTTTACAAAGTATAAAATAGGGAGACCTGGCATAAAAAGAAGCATGTAACTCCATTATCTAAGGTTAAAGTTTTGGTTAATCACTTATATGTACCCTCTGGATGAGGATACTTTCACACTCTTTGAAAAAGATGGTTTTATTTGATTGTAAGTTTCATGCCAGTAATATAATACAACATTTTGTAAAACCTATTCCAGTTTAAAACCTATTCCAGTTTTAGCTGCAGCTGTTCTATTCCATTTGTGTCTAAACTGTAAAGCCTATACTTTCAGTTAACAGGTCATGCAACAAATATTTATTGAGAGTCTACTGTAGTGCCTTGCTGCTTGACTAAGGTGTTCACTGGTGTGTGGCACTGCTGCTTTGCTATTCAGGCTTTGATATTAGGGCTGCTGCTTGCAAATGGAGCTCATAGTGAATTTGTGCAAATCAGAAAAGGTTATCTGTTGATTTGCAAACTGGCCTGGGCAAGGAGAGACTGAAGCAAGAGGCAGACCACTCCAGATAAGTAAGGGAACTTACCATGAGGCTTGTCTTGGGTGGCTGCAAAACGAGTAGATCTCTGTACCTACCTGTCAGATCTTTAAAGTTTATATAGAGGGCTTAACTGGGTTCAGTCACATATCCAGTCCAGATGTTAAATAACACATTACTCTCACTAGGCTGTATCCTAGGACCAGCTCCTGCTGTGAGAACAGGCTGGGCAGAATGTACATTCCAAGGACAGTGGATGGGGTTGAGGAGCCTCTGATTGTCTGTGTTTAGCTCGTGGGCCAGCCGGCGGTTGTGTCCTCTCATTTACCTCCTCTAACAGTGTCCCCTTTGGGAGGCAAATTAGAAAAAGGCCTTCTTTCTCTGGCTGATTTAGCCTGAGCCAAGGCACATGGTTTAACAAGAGGTCATGGATTGCGTCTTGGCCCGTTTTCTCTCTTGGCCAGATGCCTTTGCACAAGAAGCCTACTTGTATAGCTTTATGTGGCTGAACTGTGTAGATAGAAGAAAGCAGTGAGAGTAATGAATATTTTCTATGACTTTTTCTTTAATTTTTAAAGAGTATTTCTTTAGCATAGCTGAAAAAAATCAAAATAATTTATTTGGGTCATTAAGCTTTGCTGCCTGTAACACAAAACCTATCAAATGCTTTTAGAATCTAGAACAGTGGTTGGTTCACCAGAGTCCCCAGGAAGGCTTTGTGAGAGCCCCAGAGCCGCACCTGACTTAGGGCTGAGCTGGAGCCTAAGAGTTTGTGGCGGTGTCCTGGGGACCCTGAGGCAGCCCGCCCGGGGACTTTGCAAATCCCTGATCTAGATCATTAAACTCATTGTGTAGCAGAGGATTGTGGTGAATGCAGCCATGGGAGAGGATGGTGTGTAACAGTGAGGTCAGTTACTGTTCATATGGTTTTTTAAAAAACTACTTAAAAATCATGGTGAAACATAACATAAAATTTACCAGTTTAACCTTTTTCAGTGTATAGTTTAGTGGCATTAAGTACATTCCTGTTGTTGTGCAGCCATCACCACTATCCATGTCCAGATTGTTTTCATTACCCCAAACTGAAACTTTGTCCCATTAAACAATAACTTCCCAGCAGTTAACATTTTTATGTATTTTTTGAGGCTGTTTTTAATATGTGAATGAGAATATAATATTTTTCTTTCATAAAAATGTTGAGCACATTTCTCATTTCTTAAATATTCTTTGAGAACTTGCTTTTTGTTGGCTGAATAATATTGTATTTTATAGTAATGTGATTTAAGATTATTTTTAACTTTATTCTAATAGTTGATGCAATGAATATATTTAGAGGTAAACTTTTGTTCAGATATGATTCATAGAAGTAGAGTAATTGACCCAAAAGTATGTATATTTCTGTTAGATTTACATATTAAAAATGAACAGGGATGGAAAGAAAAGAGAAAAATATCTAAAAACAACTAAATGGACCAATTTTTCCAAATGATGTAATCACATTAAAGAAGGGAGAGGACAAAAAGAGCTAATTCAAATGATTTATGAACACAGTATTTGACAATATCATTTGTGTTAGGTGGGTGAGGTGAGGGGAAAAGCACAAAATTCCTGAACTCATTTTGTAGAGTGACTTGAGTGATGCTTAATTATGAAACTATTTTAGATGTATTATAGGCTCAAGCAGATTAATAAATATATTTTATGTTGTTGGGATCCAAGGTTTTCCCTGTGAAAGAAGGACATGCAACTGTGGAATGGGAGAAGGCAAGAAAGAACCCTATGGGGATAGATTAAAATTGGTAGTATCAGTGTAAACTCATGATTCCTAAAATACATATATGGATATGAATGTGTAAGTGTACCTGTGAACTAACAAATTAATTCAGAAAAGTTGTAGAATACAAAATAATATACAGAAATATGCATTTCTATACACTAATAAACTATCAGAGACATTAAGGAAAAAGTCCCATTCAAATTGTAGTAAAAAAAGTATACCTAGGAATTAGGTATTTAAGCAAGGAGGTGAAAGACCTCTACACAAAAAACCATAAGGCATTGATGAAAGAAATTGAAGAAGTCACAAATAAATGGAAAGATAACTCTGTGTTCATTGTTCATGGATTGGAAGAATTAATGTTGTTAAAATGTCCTCACTACCCAAAGCAGTCTACAGATTTAATTCAGTTCCTATCAAAATTCAAATGGCAGTTTTCACAGAAATAGAATAGACAGTTCTGCAATTCTTACAGAAACACGAAAGAGCCCAGATAACCAAAGCAGTCTTGAGAAAGATCAAAGCTGGAGATACCACGCTCCCTGATTTCAAATTATGTTACAAAGCTGTAGTAGTCAAAATGGTATGGTTGGCATAAAAGCAGACTCATAGATCGATGGCTCAGAAGAGAAAGCCCAAAAATAAGCCAATGCATAAATGCGTTACAACAATATGCATTTATTTACTACAAAGGAGCCAAGAATATAATATGGGGAAAGGACTGTTTCTTCAATCAAATGGTTCTGGGAAAACTGGACCACTCTCTTATACCATACACAAACATTAATGCAAAATGAATTGAAGACTTGAATATAAGACCTAAAACCACAAAACTAGAAGAAAACATAGGTGATAAGCTTTTTGATGTTCGTCTCAGCAGTGGTTTTTTGGATTTGACACCAGAAGCAAAGGCAACCAAAGGAAAATTAAACAAGTGGGACCATATCAAACTAAAAAGCTTCTTCACAGCAAAGGAAGCCAACAACAAAATGAAAAGGCAGCCTACTGAATGGGAGAAAATGTTTGCAAGTCATATATCAGATAAGGGGCTAATATAAAAAATGTATAAAAAATTGATACAACTCATAGCAAAAAAACCCAATCCAATTTAAAAATGGGCAGAGGATCTGAATACACATTCTCCAAAGAATACATAGAGATGGCCAACAGGCACATGAAAAGATGCTCCACATCACTAATCAGGGAAATGCAAATCAAAACCACAATGAGATACTGCTTCATACTTGTTAGAAGGGCTATTAAAAAGAAAAATAAGTATATAGAGAAAGGGAACCCTTGTGCACTGTTGGTGGGAATATAAAGTAATGCAGTCACTATGGAAAACTGGAGTTTCCTCAAAAAATTTAAACATTTACCATATGATTCAGCAATTCCACATCTGGGTAATTATCCAAAGAAAATGAAAACATGAACTTAAGAAGATATATGCACCTCCATGTTCACTGCAGCATTATTTACAATAGCCAAGATACGGAAACAACCTAAGTGTCTTTGATGGATGAATGGGTAAAGAAAGTGTGGTGTGTATATATACAATGGAATACTTTCAGCTGCAAAAAAGAAGGAAATTTTGCTATTTGCAACAATATGGATAGACCTCAGGGCATTAATTCTAAATGAAGTCAGTCAGGCAGATAAAGACAAATACCACATGATCTCACTTAACATGTGGAATCTAAAAACAGCAAAGCAAGCTCATGGATACAGAGAGCAGAAAGGTGGTTGGAAGAGGTGTGGGGTAATATGGGTGAAGGGGCTCAAAAGGCACAAACTTTCGATTATAAAATAAATCCTGGGGGTGTAATATATAGTATGCTGACTATAGTTAATAATACTGTGTTGCATATTTGAATGTTTCTAAGAAAAAAGATCTTAAAAGTTCTCACCACAAGAAGAAAAATTGTAACTACATATGGTGATATGTTAACTAGACTGACTGTGATCATTATGTGATCTACACTAATACTGAATTATGTTGTGTACATCTGAAACTAATGTTACATGTCAGTATACCTCAGTAAAGTCTGTGTGTATGTACACAAGTATGCATTTATTTCCCTGCTTTGTCCACAAAAGGGCCACTATGAAGCAAAGATAGCCTAGTAGCAATGAGCACATCTGGTGTCCAGATCTTGGACTCTGATACTATTGCCCATTAAAGGGAACCAGGGCCCTTCAGAGAAATAGCTGATGCCAGGATTGGGGCAGGATGGCTACAGGATGAGCTTGGAACATCTTGTAATGCCAGAAAATAATGTTCAAAAAATGATAGAAGTGTGTTACAGGGACATAGGAGCCACCATGAAGGGGCTCCCACTGGCCAAATCTGAGGCAGTCTGAGTACCAAAGTAATTAAAAACACCAATGATACTTACTTTCTACTGCATTTCACCTTTGTTTTCCTTTGGCAGCGGTGACAAGTCAGATCATCTCAATGAATATTTGCTGTTTTCTTAACATAGGACACAGTATATCTTTTAAAGAGAAAAATCAAGATGATTGTTTTCCCTATGCAATTAACTCCCCTCTTTTCCGCCTTATTTTCTGTGTTTTGCAATGACCAACTTGCTCCTAGAAGTTTCTTTGGAAGCCAGTGTACTCTCCCCTTGTCAGGTCAGATAAGGGACTAAGCTTAACACACTAAGCAGGCCTTTCTTGTTAGTGGCTGGCTGAAACGAAATGCATAGCTATATTAGCACTCACTCCTTTCATCACATTCCCACCCCTTCTGCTGCTTTTTATCCACCCCTTCTAACCTTAGCCAAGGTCTTTTTTATCTACCTTCAAGGCTTACCTGGATTTTAGGCTCAACACTTAAATGACTCCCTAAACAATAAACATCTTATGGGAGACACACATTCTGTGCTGTGACGGCTCTTTAATTCCTCTTCCCCTAGAACAAGGATAAGCACTACCTGAAATGTTACTTTTTAATAAATAAATAATGGCTGCATTTATTAAGCAGTGTGGTGCAGACTAGTAGCAGCACACCCAAATCTGTTCTTCCGTGCTCTTACAGTGAACAAGCTGTAACTAGGTACATGGTCATCCAGCTAGAAATTACATTTCTCAGCCTCTAACTCAGTTCTCCCCAGGGGAAAATGAGTGGCAGGGATGTGTACCTTTCCTTCTGGTCCTAAAGACCCTGGGCATGATGCCTTCATACTGTTTCCCTTCCCTCCAAGCTGGGGCACAGAGGGCCCATGGCCCTGCTAATGCCTGTGCTGGTGGGCTCTGTGATGCAGGGAGGATGGCAATGTGGGTCCCTGAATTTCTGTGAGGAGCATGACTGCCCTACAAGCCTGGATTGCTTACCTTGTCATGCAACAACAACAATGAATTATATGCCACTGAGAAATTAAGAGTCCATGAGTCTATATAAATAGTAGATATATGAGTAATGAGTGAGTGAGGGAGAGTGCAGTCTCTTGCTTACAGTAGACTGCCAGTTTCCAAATGGTAAATTTAAAGGAGTGATGGAGTTGAAAAATCATCATTATGTACATTTAAAATTTCCTATTATGAATATTTAAAACTAGGAAAATGTGTGCATATTTAATGGCTTTTGACTAATGTTATGCAGTTTCTCTCCATTCTAATACATTCTGGTAATCAGTATTTTGAAGATACCACTTTGTCTATATTTTTAGGTTTTCTTTTGTCTATTACTATGATCCTCTTATATTTTATAAAGAAGTGTAATTTTTTGTTTTCTTAGAGTTTGAAGATTGGTGGGACTAAGACATGGTAGAATATAGACTGACCTTCTTGTGTCAGAAGTAGGTTGGGGAGGGTGGCGATGGGAATGTGTTGAACAAATCAGGAGCGAATGGCCACTTCCCTTTCTTCCCGCTGGGAGCTGGGGCAGTTCTCAGAGTTGGGGCATGGCAATAGCAATCAACCTAAAGACATACATGTAAAACTTTGAGACTTGCTGGGAGAACCAGTTCTAGGACTAAGAGTCTGAGGTAGGTATTTGAAGTCCTTAAAACATTTTAGCTTTATTCATTTGAGTAGTTTCTGCGCTGAGTGTTGACGATATATAGCTAAATACAATCTCTACCCTAAGAAGTTTCCAATCTAATGGCTGAGACAGATGAAGAGGAAACTATTTGTTCTACTGGTACAGGGTGGCATACAGAGAGAAAGTTTCCCATTTGAAAGTGAATTTTGTATTGTTTTCTAGAGTTTCCTTGCTCTTTACAATTTTTTTTCCCTTCTTATGTTAGTACCTGTCTTTGTAGCAGCTTCTTCCTTCTGCTTCCTTCTTGGACTAATGTTTGTACTCTCAACAGTGCTGTGGTAGGCTGAAAAATGGCCTCCAAAGATGTCTACATTCTAATCACCCTGGAACCTGTGACTGTATTACCTTATGTAGCAAAAGGGACTTTGCAGATATGATTAAGGCTGAAGACTTTGAGATGGGGAGGCTATTCTGTATTATCCAGGTGGGTCCAGTGTAATCACAGGGTCCTTAAAATAGAAGAGGGAGGCAGAAGAGAGTTGGGGAAATGTGGTTATAGAAGAAGCCAGGGTGATGTGAGAAGCTGCAGTTGCTGCTTTGAAGATGGAGTCATGAGTTAAGGAATACAGGCTGCCTTCAGGAGCTGGAAATAGCAGGGTCCTCGACTGTCCCTCAAACCTCCAGAAGGGAACGCAGCCCTGCCAACACCTCGACTTTAGCTCACTGAGACCCATAAAAGACTTTGTAAACTACAGATCTTATAAAACTTGTCAACTAAGTAAACTTGTAAACTAAAAACTTGCAAAAAAAAAAACTTGTAAACTAAGATAAATTTGTTCCTTTAGCCACTAAATTTGTGATGCTTTTTTACAGCAGCAATATAAAACTAAGACAAATATCTTACACATGGTTTGTGTTCAGAAATACTTGAATTGATAGTTTCTTTTTCCTTTACTTTTTTCTCTTAAAATTTTTTAGATAAATGTTAAGAGTACTTAAGGTTTTATTGCCTTTTACGTAAATGTATTTGTACATAAGTGTGTATAATGTACATGCTGATAAGCTAATAGAAGAAAATGTATTGTTCTAGTCATAAAAGAAAACTTAATTAATCTTCCTTTCTTTAGGACCTGTTATGGAATTTGATTATGCAATATGTGAAGAATGTGGTAAAGAATTTATGGATTCTTATCTTATGAACCACTTTGATTTGGCAACTTGTGATAACTGCAGGTACTTAATGCTCTCAATTGCCAAATTTTAATGTTCGCATGTTGGTTTAGGGCAAAACAATAATTAGATCCATTTGGATTTAGTTTTCTTAATATGATTTTTGCTTTGGGAGTTTCCTAATATAAATGAAAGTATTTTTCTGTTATGATTTATACTGCTAATTACACCATGAGAGTTGCAGGAAAAAGTGTTGTACATGTTCCTGTTGGCATGTGTGCCCCTAAGTTGCTGGGCTCTTTGAAAACTTAAGTTTTATTTAAAATAACTAACATGTAATGGACTTAATTTGTTTTCAGAGATGCTGATGACAAACACAAGCTTATAACTAAAACAGAAGCAAAACAAGAATACCTTCTGAAAGACTGTGATTTAGAAAAAAGAGAACCAGCTCTTAAATTTATTGTGAAGAAGAATCCTCATCATTCACAATGGGGTGATATGAAGCTCTACTTAAAATTACAGGTCTCTAATAAGTTCCGGTCAGTTATTTTAAGCCCTGGGTCAGGTGAAGTCTTAATGAACTAGTTTAACTAGTTTTTGCCTACAGAGTTAAAAAGATACTTTTCATTTTATTTTGTGTGTGAGTCACTGTGAAGACAATCAGAGAAACAGGACATCTTTTCTGTTTGTAATCTAATTCGGAATGTTTACTGAGGGTTTCATAGATTTAGATAGAGGTATTATTGGAGGTGTTTCTTATTGTTTAAAATCTTTTAAATTTCACATATTTATGAAATTGCACTTGAGTTAGATCCTTCTTTGGTACCTGTGGATTTAATAATTATAACTATAATATTTTACAACTGAATCACAACTAATTTAAATATGTGTTGTAGATTGTGAAGAGGTCTCTTGAAGTTTGGGGTAGTCAGGAAGCATTGGACGAAGCAAAGGAAGTTCGACAGGAAAACCGAGAAAAAATGAAACAGAAGAAGTTTGATAAAAAAGTAAAAGGTAAATGGCTATGTATCATGAAGGGCTATGTTTTCCTGCTTTACAAAAGACTTTAGCTAAGTTCTTCCTGGTTAAAGATATGCCACCAGTAGATAGGAATGTGTTTTTTCATAGATTAAAGAAGAAAGATTTAAAGTTGGCCCTCAACCTACTGTGATGTACTTCAATTCTAGAAAGCATGTAAGCCATCATCTTAAGGTGAATCATGTTTTTATATAGGAGCACTGGTAGGATCAAGGATACATTTACCCTTGACCAAGGATTTAGCATTCATTTCATCTTAAATATTACCTACAGGGTTATAAAAAACAATGATATCCACCAGCAAACTCTGTAATTGCTTAAAGTGAAAAATCAAGTCTAAGTCTTAGTAGTCATTAATTTAGCAGCTAGAAGGAACCTTCTAATGTCCACTAGTATAATAATTTTTATTATGTATGAATATAAGGTAGAGTGATTTTTTATATATACAGTTAATAGAGAGTTGACATGGGAACCAGGCTTTCATGACTAAAAGTCTGCTTTGATACACTGAGTCATCTGTCCGTACATCTATCTATCCATGTGACTGTCCATTCCTTTGTTCATCTACCTCTGTGTTTATCCATCCATCCATATATGCAGGTTTGCTAACTCTGTCCATCCATCCATTCATCCATCAATGCATCCAGTAATTACTAAGTGTCACCTGTGTTCCAGGCACTGTGCTAACATAAATGCTGGAGTCACAGTCAGAAGAGAAAGACCAGTAAACTTACAATCATAATAGAGTGTGATAAGTTCTGTGATAGTGATGAATACAGGCGGCTACAGGGGCACAAAGAACATTTTTTGCTATATTGCTGGTACCCTAAGACAAGTCTTAAAAGGTGGGCATGAGTATTCTTCAAATAGTAATTGTTGAGTCCCAGTCTGGATTAAAGTGTATATGGATAGCATGTGTTTTATGTGTATACAGTGTTTTACTAAATTGATCCATTTAAAATGAGTAATTTTGCTCATATTTTTGGGAGTTAGACGTTTTGGGGAGGGTGAATGAAGATGTTTTGAAAAGAAAAAAAAATTGAATGTAAGCCTGCCTGTTTCTTATTGTGAAAGGACTTTTCTGTCCTCCTTTTCATTACAAGAGTAATTCATGTGCAGTGCAGAAAAGTTAGAAAACTACAAAGAATTTTATCCATGATTCTGCTACCCAGAGACAATCATTAGTAACATTTTAATGACTATTTTTTCCAGTTCTTTTCTATACATAGGCTTTTTAATAATATTTTTTATAAAAATGGACATTTATGAAGTTTATTAAAAGTTTATCAAGACTTACATACATCTTCATATAAATTAGAGTTACTTAAGATACCATTCCTGAGTGAGCGGGTCAGCACCTTTTTATGGCTTTGGGGAGAGGCTCCCTGTGTAAGAGCATTTCATCGAAGAATCTTACTGAATGAGCCACTGCTGTACCACAGTCCCGCAGTACTCAGAACTACATGCAAAGACCAAATGAGAGGATTTGGGAAGACTTCTTTTGAGTTTGGTCCTTTTCTTTAACCTTTTCGGTGTTCTATCCCAGCCATTCCCCTCCTCCAACCTCAACGAGGGCCTTGAAAGATAAAGTAACAAAAGGCGTCTTAAGGGGTATGAAAGAGGAGGGCATATTCAGAGACCATTTATGAGCCTGGGGTTTCATTTACCGTAGCTACCTGAATCACCTCAATTCTTCCCTCTCTGCTTCCTCCTTAAACTACTTCCAGATGGTATTTTGGTGCAGACTATAATAATATTTGGATAAAGGAATTAGGAACATGTACCTTGTAAAGTGATGAAATATTTTCAGGAAGGAGGATGATAGGTAGATACTGTTTGTGCTTTGGTCAAGATGTCCTCTAATGACTAAATTCTGATAATTTAACTAGAAATAAAAGATTATGACATCTGTTTCATTATGCTTTTCTCTTTACAAATTCTGTTAAGATAATCATAGATTAAATATTAGTGTGATTAGAACAGTTCAAGATTTACAATTTTCATTTTTTTTTAAAGAAATAGAAATACAAATATAATTGGCTGTTTTTCTCACTATAGTAAATTGCTACTATTAATCACCAGATAAACTTCTGTACGTTTTTGTCATCCCTGAAGAGTTCGAATTTGCCCTAGATTTTTTCTTCGACCTCTTAAGACTGGTTTCTTTAATTCAGTTCATTGTTGTTTGGATGAAGTATGTCTTTTGAGGAAATTTTCCAAGTGGCTACATAAGTAGCATATTTTCAAAGTTCCTGCAAATCTAAGAATGTTTTCCTATTTCTTTTGTATATGAAAACCTGAGTTTTCTCTCAGTTGTATAAATATTACTCCATTTTTCTTGTGTTTAATGTGCAGAGGTCAATGCAATACTTTCTTTAATTGCGGCTTCTTGTTGATTTACTTTAGAGGTTGGTGGATATGTTCGTATCCTGACTAGGCCACAAAGGGCTGAGAGTGGAGTAGATACTGTAGAGATTAGAAACAAGGAGTTTACTCTGCAGTTTGCTCAGAGGGCTCAGCACAGAAAGGAATAAAAGCAAGTCTGAAAGTTTTTTAGTTGAAAAGAAATTGGAACCTGGTTTCTCTTGGTCTTCTGATTTTGATCCACAAATAAGCTGACCCAAAGTTTACTTCTTTATAGAAAGGTAAGAGGTTATATTTACCTGCTTTAGAATATGACCTACTTTAGCAGTTTAAGAAAGAATTCATCTTATTACAGAAGAAAATTAAATAAGGCATATATTAATATAGACAAAGTGTGGAAGAGGAGAATTTTGTCAGCAAATTCACATTGTTATAGATGTCTTAGATCCAAGAAGGCAAAAGTAGAAATGGCACCACTGCTGCCTAGTATACTTCAAAAAATGCAGGATGTGCTCGCCTTGACACTGGTTAGGAACTTTCAATTGGTGCAGATACACAAAATGTTTTGGTTTGCACGCCTCCTTTCCACAACTAAGGTGTGGAGATAAGACTTTAAAGTTATACTCAGCTTTCTCTAACTTCATACTGGTAGAGATTAACTTTTTATAAAAAGGGAAAATTAATCTTCCTTGTTTATTACCATGTACATTTCCCCAAAAAAAGATGGGTAAGAAAATCCCACTTTGGGGCTCCTAAGTTTGTGGACCTTTTATATCCAGGGCCTGTGGCTATATGTATGACTGCTTTTGGGCTTCTCTCAGGATAGTTTGAAGGACACAATTCCTGGTTACTCTGCTTTAGTTTATGCAGGACTAAATAAGATCAAAACTTCTTACATTATTTTGTCATTTCCTTACGAGATTTTTCTCTAATTAACAAGGGGCACCTTCTGTCAAAGCTTCCTGCTCTCCCATCAAGTAGTTAGAAATATTTGGTCTCCCTTAGTGAGTTCTAAGTTCACCTCAGAGGCAGCATTAGGCTTCTTTGAATACAGGTTGCCTCTTTTGCAAAATACAAATTTTAAAGTGGTATAAAATTTTTCACAAATATTTAAGGGAAAACTTCAGGTGAAAAGTATAAACAGTCTGAAGACATCAATAGCAAGACTGGTTGCCATGAACATTTTAATTTCTAGGAGAGCTAGTCCACAGTTTTCTGTGTTGAAATCCTAGGCCAGTGGGACTAGGAGTAACATGTAACATTGTGACATGGTAAAACCACGTCCTGTTCTCCAGCCTGTTAGGCTTTCAGTGCCGCATGCCACGGTTAGGCTTTCAGTGCCACATGGCACGTCCCCACACCCCCCTCAAGGTTCCTAAGCTCTCCCCAGGCCTGTCAGATATTTTCAAATGCTTCTAAAGTCTCTGACATTTCTAGTTCCCTCTTCTCATTCTCAGCAGTATGTAGGTGATCTCTACTTCCCAAAGTTTTAAGTAGCTTAAATGAAATAATGTGGAAAACTTACTAATGTTTAAACCAATTTTTGATTTTACCTAATATTGACATTTTTCCACATTTACTTTTTGCTGTCATTCACACACACATGTATTTTTTAACCATTTAAGAATTACTTGCAGACATTTTTTTTAGTGATGTACATACAAAAAAATGCACAAATCTTAGTGTACACCTTGATGAATTTTGATATGTGAGTACCCTCATGTAACCATCACCCAGATCAAGATATCAAACATTTTCACTATTTTTTCCCCCTTTACCCATCCCTACTTCCCCTTCCCCTATGGTAACCACCAGTATGTTCTCTTTGTTTGAGTCTGTTTCAGTTTTGTTTCTTTGTTCATCTTCTTTTTGTTTTTTAGATTCCATGTATAAGTGAAATCATATGATATTTGTCTTTCTCTGACTGACTTAGCATAATACCTTCTAGGTCCATCCATGTTGTCACAAATGGCAACATTTTTTATGGCTGAGTAATATCCCATTGTATATATGTACATCTTTTTATTCATTCGTCTATTGATGGATATTTAGGTTGTTTCCATAGTTTGGCTATTGTAAATAATGCTACAGCAAACATTGGAGTGCACATCTCTTTTTGGAGTAATGATTTTGTTTCTTCAGGTAAATTCCCAGAAGTGGAATTGCTGGGCCACATGGTATTTCTATTTTTCATTTTTTGAGAAATCTCCATGCTGTGTTCCATAATGCCTGCACCAAATTTTCAGTCCCACCAGCAGTGTACAAAGGTTTCTTTTTCTCCACATCTTCACCAAAACTTTTATTTGTCTTTTTGACATTAGCCATTCTGATAGATGTGAGGTGATATTTCACTGTGGTTTGATTTGCATTTCCTTGATGATTAGTTGAGATCTTTTCATGTGCCTGTTGGCCATCTGCATGTCTTCTTTGGAAAAATGTCTATTCAGGTCCTCTGCCTATTTTTTATTCAGATTACTTCATTTTTTGGTGTTGAGTTATATAAGTTCTTATTATCCCTTTATCAGATACACCATTTGTAAATAATATTCTCCCATACAGTAGGCTGCCTTTTTGTTTCGTTGATGGTTTCTTTTGATGTGCAGAACCTTTTTTAGTTTTATGTAGTTTCACTTGTTTCTGTTTTTGTTTCCCTTGCTGAGGAGACATAGTCCAAAAAAATTTACTAATGCTGATGTTCAAGAGTTTATTGCCTATGCTTCCTTCTAGGAGTTTTATGGTTTCAGGTCTTTAATCTATTAAGAGTCTCTTTTTATGTATGATGTAAGACAATGATCCAATTTTATTTTTTTACATGTAGCTGTCCAGTTTTCCCAACACTATTTATTGGAGAGAGACTTTCCTGGTTGTATACTCTGCCTCCTTTGTCATATATTAACCATATAGGTGTGCGTTTATTTGTGGGCTGTTATGTTCAGTTGGTCTGTGTATCTGTTCTAATGCCAGTGACATACTGTTTTGATTACTGTAAGTGTGTATTATAGTTTGAAGTCAGGGAGTATGATACCCCTACATTGTTGTTCTTTCTCAATATTGCTTGGGCTATTGGGGTTTTCTGTGGTTCCATATGAGTTCTAGGATAATTTGCTCTAGTTTAGTGAAAAATGTCATTAGAATTTTGATAGAGATTGCATTGAATATTTAGATTGCTTTGGGCAGTAGAGTCAATTTCACAATATTATTTCTTCCTGTCCCTGAGCATGGAATAGCTTTCCATTTATTTGTGTTTTCTTCAGTTCTGTCATCATAGTTTCTTTGGTTAAATTTATTCCTTAGTATCTGATGCATTTGTAAATGGGATTTATTTAATTTGTCTTCATTATTTGTACATAGAATTGCAACAGATTTCTATATATTTTCTTCTGTGCCTTTACTGAATATATTAACTCTAGCATTTTTTTGGAGGAGTCTATGGGATTTTCTTTATATAGTATCATGTCATTTGCAAATGATGATATTTTATTTCTTCCTTACCACTTTGTATGTTTTTCTTTTTCTTGCCTGATTGCTGTGGCTAGGACTTCCAGTGCTATGTTGAATAATAGCTGTGAGAGTGGGCATCCTTGTCTTGTTGCTGTTGTAAACAAGGAAAAGCTTTCTGCTTTTTGCTGTTGAGTATAATGTTAGCTGTGAGTTTGTCATTGATGGCCTTTATCATGTTGAGATGTTTTCTCATTTTATTGTGTTGTGAGTTTTTATCATTAATGGATGCTGAATTTTGTCAAATCTTTTTCAGCATCTGAGATGAACATACAGTTTTTATCTTTCCTTTTGTTAATGTGGTGTTTTGCATTGATTTTCTGGATGCTGAACCATCCCAGGGATGCAAGCGTGGAGTAAATCCCTCTTGGTTGTGGTGAAGAACTTTTTAATGTATTTTTGAATTCAATTTGCTAATATTCTATTGAGAATTTTTGCATCTATATTCAACAGGTATATTGATGTATAATTATTTTTGGTAGTGTCTTATTCTGGTTTTGTTATCAAGATAGAACTGGCCTTGTAGAGTAAGTTTGGAAACTTCCCTTCCTCTTCAATTTTTTGTAGTAGTTTGAGAAGTATAGATGTTAACTCCTTTTTAAATGTTAGGTAGAATTCTCCTGTGAAGTCATATGGTACTGGACTTTTGTTTGTTGGGAGTTTTTTTTTTTATTATTGCTTTACTTTCATTACCAGTAATTGGTCTCCTCAGATTTTCTGTTTCTTCCTCGTTCAGTCTTAGGGCATTGCATGTTTCTGTGAATTTATCCATGATTTCTAGGTTGTCCAATTTGTTGGATTATAATTTTTCATAGTACTCTTTTAAAATTATATTTCTCAGTTGTCACTTCTTCATTTTTTATTTTGAGTCCTCTTTCTTGATGAGTCTAGCTAAAAGTTTGTCAATTTTATCTTATGAAAGAACCAACTCTGTTTCATTGATGCTTTGCATTGTTTTTATCTCTATTTTATTTATTTCTGCTTTAATCTTTATTATTTCCTTCTTTCTACTAACTTTGGGCATTGTTCCCTTTTTTCTAGTTCTTTTAGGTCTACAGTTAGATTGTTTGAGATTTTTGTTTTGAGGCAGGCATGTAACGTTATAAATTTCCCTCTTAGATGTGGCTTTTGCTGAATCCCAAAGATTTTGCATTGTCATATTTCTATTTTCATTATTCTCTGTGTACTTTTTGAATTCCTCTAATTTCTTTGATCCATTGGTTGTTTAGTACCATGCTATTTAGCCTCCATGTGTTTGTGTTTTTTACAAATTTCTTTTTCTAGTAATTGGTTTCCAGTTTCATACTGTTGTGGTTAGAAAAGATGCTTGGTATGATTTCAGTTTTCTTAAATGTATTAAGACTTGTTTTGTGAATGGTCTACTTGCACTTGAAAAGAATGAATATTCTGCTGTTTTTGATATAATGTTCTGTTTATATCTGTTAGGTCCATGTGGTCTAATGTGTTGTTCAAAGCTGCTTTCTGTCTGGACAGTCTATCCATTGATGTAAGTGAGGTGTAAAATTCCTTTGCTATTACTGTATTACTGGCAAATTCTCCCTTAATGTCTATTAATATTTTTCTCAATGTATTTAGCTGCTCCTGTGTTGGGTGCATAGATATTTACAATTGTTATTTTTTTTACTGGATTGAGTCCTTAGTCATTATATATTATATAGTTTCCTTCTTTGTTTTAAAGTCTATTTTATCTGATATAAGTACTCCTATTCTAGCTTTTTAAAAATTTTCTGTCTGCATAGAATACCTTTTTCCCTCCCTTCAGTTTCAGTCTATGTGTGTCTTTAGGTCTGAAGTGAGTCTCTTGCAGGCAACATATAGATGGGTCTTGTTTTTTATCCATTCAGTCACCCTTTGTCTTGATTGGAGTAGTTAGTCCATTTACATTTAATTATTGATATATGTATACTTCTTGCCATATTGTTAAATGTTTTCTGGTTGTTCTTACCATTCTTCTCTGGTCCTTTCTTTTCATGTTCTCTTCCCTTGTGTGTGAAACTTTTAGTGTTATGGTTGGATTCCTTTCTCTTTATTTTTTGTAATCTGTTGTATAGGCTTTTGGTTTGTGTATCTATTATAAGTTTTTGGTTTTAGGTTTGTAGTTATCATGTGGTTTATATATGATGTCTTACATACAGCAGTCCATGGTAAGTTGCTGTTTACTTAAGTTTACCTGTATTCTAACAGCACTACATTTTTAGCTCCCTTTCCTCCATGTTCATGTATATGGTCTCTTCTTTAACACTTTTTATTTAGTGATTTCCTTAACTAATTTTTAGAAGTAGTTGATTTTACTACTCTTGTCATTTAACCTTCATACTAGCTTTTAAGTGATCAACTACCACTGCTGTCTGTTTGCTTTTACCAGTGAAATTATTACTTTCCATAGTTTTCTTGCTTTTAGTTACAGCCTTTCCTTCTCCTATTAAAGAAGTCCCTTTAACATTTCTTACAAGGCTGGTTTAGTGGCGGTGAACTCCTTTAACTAGTGTTGATCTGAGAAGCTCTTTCTCTTTCCTTCAATTCTGAATGATAGCCTTGCTGGGTAGAATATTCTTGGTAGTAGGTCTTTATCGTTCAGCACTTGAATATGTCATGCTCTGTTCTAGCCTGTAGAGTTAACGTTGAAAAATAAGTTGATGGCTTTATGGGGTTTCTTATGTAGGCAAACTTGTTGCTTTTTTCTTGCTATGTTTAATATTCTTTCCTTGTCTTTGATCTTCGGCATTTTGATTATTGTGTGTCTTGGTGTGGACCTCCTTGGGTTCATCTTTTTTGGGATTCTCTGTGCTTCCTGAACCTGGATGTGTTTCCCTGGATTAGGAAAGTTTTCAGCTTTTGTTTGTTTTCCCTCAAAGACTCCTATAATGTGAGTAATATGATGTTTGATATCCTAGGGCTCCTGTAACCTATCATTTCTTTTTACTCCTTTTTCTTTCTGCTGTTCAGCTTAAGTGCTTTCTGTTACTGTGTCTACCAAGTTACTGATCCGTTCTGCATCATCTATAATCTGCTGTTGTTTCCCTCTAGCGTATTTTTTTATTTCATTTATTGTATTTTTCCTGATTGGTTCCCTTTTAGATTTTGTCTTTTTGGTGAAGTCCTCCCTGAGCTCATTTGTTCTCTCAAGTACAGTAACTTTATAAACATTGCTTTGAACTATATCAGGTAGATAAGTTAACTCTATTTCATTTTAGGATTTTTTCTTTTTGAAGTATTGTCTTGTTTTGTTGTTTGGAGCATATTCTTCTCTTCACTTTCTGTGCTTGTTTCTATGAATTAGTCAAGAGGGCTACATCTCCCAGTGTTGAAGGACTGGCCTCATGTAGGAAGGTCCCCTGGACGGACTGCTTGTGCCTTGTAGTGTTGGCTGGCTGGAGGCCAGATGAGTTGAGACAGGCATGTCCTAGTGCTGGGACTTTCAGGGCTTGGGCTGGGGGTCTCCTGTATGGTTGCCAGCAAGGGCCATGCTGGCAGGTCAGTGGTATCAAAGGGGCACAGTCCAGGAGGTTCCTAGGAGGACAGTGGGATTGGCCCTCCCTTGCTGGGTGATTGGGGGTGGAGGAGCACTGTCTGGGAGGTCTCCTGGGTGGGCTCCAGCTGGGGCCATGCTAATGGAGTGGCTAGGGATGGATGGGTACCTACGTTCAGGGATCTCCTGAGTTGGCACCTGGCTGGGGCCATGCAAATGGGGCAGCCAGGGACAGAAGGGGCATAGGTAGGCGAATCAGTGTGAGAGTCGTGATAGTACCACTTTAGTAGGACTGCTGGATCTCCGACAGGCATGTGTGGCGGGGAGTCAGGAGGCCTGCATCCTGACCCTGCTTCTGTCTGTATTGTTGTTGTGCCTGGGGAACCTAAACAGTGGTGCTCACCCCGCTCCTGTCTGCACTGGGTGCAGTGGTAACATAAACAGTGTAGCACAACCTGTTTCCCTTCTGTGCCAGAGACTGTGCTAGGAGTTCACCAGGAGTGTTGGGAGATACCAACAGTGGCACTCTCCTGTGCACATTAGCAGTGTGGGGGGAAACATAAACAGTGGCACTCACCAGCTCCTCTAGTCCCAGAGAGAGTTTGAGCAGTTCCCCTACTGTTTGGTGGTGGGGTTTAAACCCTTGAACTGATGGCTTTTTTTTGGCTGTGCCCCAAGGATGGGTGAATCTGAGCTGCAGCACCTCAGCAGTACTCCTCCCTGTCCCTGCCCGGGCTGCTCTGGGCGGGGGCTCCATCCATTACCATGCTATTTTCTTGTGGCCTTTTATCTTCAGTGTGCAGGTGTTCACTAGGGCTCTGTGCCTCTGTGCTTTGTGTTTAGGTACAGGTTTGGTGTGAACATGGGAGGAGGTGGGCTCAGGGCACAATCTTGGACCCACCTTGATGTGATTCTCATTAGTACTTCAGCATGTTCACCTACAGTGACATTCTGTGTAACTGAAAAGCAGTGATTTTAACATTAATATGATGCTATTATCTAGTCTGTAATCTATATTTATCTTTTCCCAGTTGTCCCACTGTTCTTTGTTGCTTTATAGTTGTTTGATCAGGGACCATCAAGGATGATGCATATCTGTAGTCTTTCTTAGGTCCTCAGCCTTTTTATCTATCATGACATTGACATTTTGAAGAATACAGGCCACTTGTTTTGTGGAATGTTCCTCCATTTAGATTTATTAGCAGCTTGTTTCCTCATGATTAAATTCAGGTCGAACATTTTTGTCAGGAATACTTCCTAGGTAATGTGTCTGACACATCAGGAGATGCACATCAGTTCTTTTCGAAAGACTGATACTCAGTCTGCTTGCTTAAGGCAGTGTCTGTCAGATTTCTCCATTTTAAAGGTATTCTTTTCCCTTTGTAATTAAGAAGAAATCTGTTGGGGAACTGTTTGACACTGTGATCATCTTATTCCTTAAGTCTGATTTAGTGCTTTTAGTACATGGGGATAATTCTTATCTGAGTTAGTTGTTATTAGGGTGCATATGAATGGTGGTTCTATTTCTGTTATTCTTTCCTACAGGTATTATTTGGATTAATTTTGGAAGTAAGTAGCTTTTTTTAATACCATTTGGATATGGGTGGGTTCTTACTCTCATCAGTGTTCTAGTCCATTCCTGTTATTATTCACTTTGATGCTCAAATTGTCCCAAATTTCCCAGTGGAAACCTCTTGAAGCTAGCATCTGACTTTTTAAAAAGTTACTTAGAAATAATTTCAAATTTACTTAAAATCACAAGGACAAAAATAGTATAAAGAACACTATATATCCTTTACCCAGATCTGTTAACACTTTATGCCATTTGCATCATTTGCATTTTGTCTATACACACATATTTTTTAACCATTTAAGAGTAGGTTGCATACACCATCCCCTAATATTACAGTATATATTTCCTAAGGCTAGGGGTATTCTCTTAGTCTAATCTTCCATCATATATATTCTAGTTTTATTGACCCATTAATGTCCTGTATAGTTTTTCATTCTAATATAGGATCCAGTATATGATCAGGTATTGACTTAAGGTATCAAGTCTTTCTAAATTTTATTCTTTAGTTTTCCAGAATATTCTGGAATTTGTTTATTCTGGAAATATCTGCAGCCTTTATCTTTTATGACATTAACAATTTTGCAGATGTCTCTTCCCTTCCTCAGGCCTGCATTCTGTTTTTCATTTGGGGCTTTTCTGGTTTCCTGATGGTTTGACTCAGGTTACACATTTCAGGCCAGGAAACATACATATATGATGCGCCTTTCTTAGGGCTTCACATCTGAAGGCATATAATGTCCATCTGCCTTCATGCTGATGTTAATATTTATTTTTCCTTTGAGAAGTAAAAAAAATTTGTGAGACCATACAAATATTTCCTCTTAACACAATCCCCTTAGATTTATCATGCATCCACAGATGCCTGCAACAGTCTTTAATATGATGGTTGTAAAGATTGTTTTCTAACTTCAGTGCTGTCTCCGATTTAACCTGTTGGAAACCAGCATTCTACAACATGTTTTCTCCCGTTTATTATTGGTGGCTTATTCCTGTTTCTCTCAGTGGCTTTTGGTTCATTTCTGTGTATATTTTGGTGCTCAGACGGTCTTAGATTTGGGCTGATGGGACCATCTTCAAGCTAGCTCCTTTCTGTCATGTTTCATTCATCGAGCACTCCTTTCTGCTTTCTAAAACAAAACACTTGTATATCTATATTTTTATGTCTGTCATATATATAAAAACCTTGAGTTCACACAGATGAACCCAGTTCTAATCCAAAATTGTAGGGTTCATTCTAGTTTTCACCTTTTCCTTTTGTAATTCCCTTTCCTGACAGAAACCTGATTCCTACTGCCCTTAACGTAATCTGATTAATGCTTCTGTTTATAAGGAACTTCCCATCATTGATGCCGCCTCCTCCACAGGGAGACTCTCCTTACCTTTCCTGGGCTCCTCCTCCCATCCTACCATGGAGGCCTGCTTTACATGTTCCACTTAATGGCTTTAGGACTGGATTGTTGAGGAAGGGAAAGGAGGGCAAGAAAGTGACAAACATCAGTGTTTTATTACTTATTTTCTAGCACAAGTTTTTCCAGGAATGTCTATAAATATTAAAGTATGGCTGTATTCTTATCATTATGTATCTTGATAGACTAGCTGAAGGATTGGAAGAAAAAGCCATGAAGTCAGTAAAAAACCTTATGTTCAATTATGGATAGTAAGCTATATATTTTTGTAAATATTTTTATAGCATTAAAAATAATTTTCTTATCTCTCACCAAGTTCACATAATGCTAGGTAGAGGTTATCTTAGCAGGGATTGGGATGTAGTAGATTTTGAGAGATTTTCTCAGTGGGAAAGTAAAGGAAAAATGGCCAGGGTACCTTACATCAGAACAAAGTTGGAAAGTAGGTATTGGAATTCAAACCTGAGACATTCCTATCATTATCTGAAACCATGAGGCATCTATGCAGTTCTGATCAGCATATCATTTTATTTTAATTTAGAAAATATCCTAAGGTAAAATAAAATAATAAAAGAGGGCATTCAGCTCTATCTAGAAAAATTAAGGTCCTTCAGAATATTCAGAGGATATAGGAATAAAGATTAGAGTTTGCGTGAACATAGTTTTTCCCAGTTTGGGAACTATCTAGAGGTGCACACAGTGAAGCTGAAAACGGGAGTCTGCTAACAGGTGTTCACACTGGGGATGTGAGGAGGGAGCAGAGCTTAGTGGTTCCCAGCATCATGGATCTGAGCTACATCGTCCCCCCCCCGCCCCCCCCCACCGTCAGTAAGCTGTTTGACCTCAGGCCAATTGTATTATTTCTCTGGGCCTTAGTTTTCTCATACACAAATCTGGATAGTTGTATTTATCTCAAAGGATTGTGAGGATTAAATATGTTCATGTGTAAAGTGCTTAGAGCGGTGCCTCATATATAGTCTTTCATGTTTGCTAATGCTCATGACATAATAAAGGCTGGAAATATAGATTCAAGTAGTATTTTGATGCTACCTATCATAGATTTAAAATGGTTTAAAGAAAGTTTGGTGTGTGTTGACTCTTGCAACTGAGGTCACTGCAGGTAACTATCATACTCTCCCTATATAGTGCCACTGTCAAAAGATGGTCCTGGGCTCTGGGTCATTGGTTGGAATAGAATAATGTGAACAATTAGTGTTGATTTTTATTAATTAAACTAGCAACTGAGAAGTTATTTGCTAATTTCCAATTAACACTAAATTTGGTTTCTTCAGGTTATATGCAATGTGAACTTTTAAAATTTGTCTTAATTGCTTTTCAAGGCATCCAATATAATTATTTTCTTAGTAAAATGATACTTTAAGATGATGTAGTGGAGAAAGTTCTCAAAATTGGAATAAATGACCTGGGTTCACATGGTACCTTTGCTCAGTTTCCCCACCTGCAAAATAAAATGGAGTACAATTAAAAAGTCTATAGTTCTTTCCACCTCTTGATAGTCTGTTTCTTGTATTGGTACTTTGCAGTGTAATTATTATCAATCCCTCTCCTAAAATATTGCTCTCATAGGATAAAGAATTTACAACTTGAAGGTCAGTTGGTTTTTCTAAGGTGAAACATCATAGTAGCAGTTCTTGGTTTTTCTAGTTTTCTTGCAGAGCTGACTTGCCGCTTAAAATACGTCTTGACTTAAATGGAATTTAAAAACGCTCCTTGTCCTCCATCATCTCAGATGACCACCCCCATCACTACCCCCCACCCCGCTAGCCTCCTGTCCTTTCCTGCTGTGGCATAATTTTTCCTTAGCTGCTTGAACCCTGTTCTTTTCCTCATCTTCGGAATTTGTTTTTTTGCTATCCCTCTAACCTGCATCATACCCCATTTCTGTATCTCTCATTTCACACTACTACGACAGGAATGATTTCACAAGCCAAGCTAGTAGGGGAAAGTAATCTTGCCAAGTCTGTATAATCAACTTTGATTTGGTATGGTTAAGGTAAGCCGTATTTGGTTTATACACATGGTTGAAAACCTGATAGATTTTTGGATTCAGTGAATAGAGCCACCGGAAAACTGGCTTTTATTTTTTTCCTAGAATTACGGCGAGCAGTGAGAAGCAGTGTGTGGAAAAGGGAAACTGTTGCTCATCAGCATGAGTATGGACCAGAAGAAAACTTAGAAGATGACATGTACCGGAAGATCTGTACTGCATGTGGCCATGAATTGACATATGAGAAAATGTGATTTTTAGTTGAGTGGTCTGTTTTACAGGTTTTATATTTAGGTAAAGGAAATTTAGATTTCTCCTGTTCAGAATTCACCAAAATTTAAAGTGTTCAAAGGTGAATGAAACACTTGTACAAGTAATGCTTTAGGAATAAGTGTGTATGTTATGGCTTGAGAGCAGATTTCCATTAAGGTCCAACAGGTCTGGCTGTTGGCAAAATATTGGGTAAATGATCATTTTTCTACAATAGGATGGGAGGTTAGTGGTAGATGAGATTCAGAAGTGGTAGGTTACAGCTAAAATTGAGAAATAAGAAACCAAAGCAAACCCTACCTTGAGGTAGGAAGAGCTTTTAGTACAAACAAAAGCTGCTAAGCTGAATTCTTATCCCAAGAAACAACAGGAATTGGTGGCAGACCACTGTAACCCCCCCCCCCGGCTGGGTCAGGTCTTCTTGACTATTTCTCTAAGTTAGGAAGCAGGGACAAATACTGATTTTATAGCAGGAATGAGCAATGAGTTATGGGAGCCTGATCATGTTTTCTAATTCTTTAGGGCTTACTACTGGGGGCCCTGATGTCGGTGTCTAGATAACCCTTTTCAAATGAGTTAAAATGGCAAAACAGCTGTAAAACAGCTTTGTTGCTCAAAGAAGGTGCTGATAATAAGCTTATCAAAACCTACTAACATTTACTGAGCACTCACCAGTTGCCTAGTAAGTACTATGCTAAGTGCCTTAAAGGTATTATCATTTAATCCTGATCAGGAACATAACCTGGGTCTGTGCCTGTTTAGCATTCATTTCTAAAGGAAGTGGTAACCTTTACAAGCTGACAGTACCCCAGACAGACCAAGTTAGGCTAAATTTTCCTTATCTTGTCAAAAGGATTACAGGGTAGTTAACAGCTAGTAAGAAGTTTGATGCCACGTGGGTCCATGTATTATTTTTTGACAATAACAAATTCAGGTTAAGATAAATTGGGTATTTTCAAGTTATTCTTTGACACAATTCTTATTCTACAGCTACAAATAACAAGACATAGGAAGTTTATATTTCATTTCTTTTTCTGTTATCAACTCTTGAAGACTGCTTGAAGAAAACATCAAACCCAAATAGGCTGAGACTATAATTACTAATTTGTTCTCTCTCTATATATATTCAATACAGAAATGTTTAATATACTTATCAAGTATTGATTTTTTTCAAATATACTATGCTAAATTACAGCTCAGTAAAAATTGATTCTGACTGGGCAGCAAGACCTTCCTGGGACAAAAAAAAAAGCTTCCAGCTCGATGACAACAGAGTAACTAGGGGTTCAGGCTGCTGACAACAGCATTACTGCATTGGAAGACAAAGAATGCACTTACTAGCTGTGCACCTTGGGTAAGTGACTTCATGGGCCTGTTTTTATCTGTCAGATGAGCATAATCAACTCTCAGTGACTGTTGTGAGGATTAAGTAAGGTAAATCTGGAGCGGCTGGCACATAACAGCCACTGGTTAATGAGCACATATCACCAATACCATCATAGTTGTAGATTTGTCTAGCTGAAGCATGCTTCTAATTGTTCTTTACCTTCTTGACATTTAAGACAATCCCAGTATCCAAATACTACTGACAGCCAAATCGGCTCAACCCCGATTGGCAAGTTTTTTTCTTATCTTTCATTTTCAGGTATAAGTATTACTAATCAGCACTAAATACTTTCCAGAAAAAGCAAGCAAACTTATTTTGATATGAACCATTGCCTGAAAAATTCCTGGAAGGTAGATTTAGAATCAAGGAAAGCTAAATTATGTATTTGCTTTGACAAAAGTATGTTAAATGGCATTAGTACAATTAATACTGATTTATTACAAGGTATGCAGTACAGTGACATGCCGTTCTGTTGTTTATGTGAACTTTGTTAGTGGCGAAAGCACCTGTTGAATATTTGCTCTTGAACGTTTATTTCTTCAAAATTCAACCTCTAGTTCAGTTTTTCCATGTACCTAGCTGCCAGAGTGGGACAGAGCAGGGTCACACCAGTGAACAGTTGTTAGAATCAACCATTACACATTAGGAGGATCGAAAAGAAAGAAAGTAAAAAAAACCCTAGGCATTCTCTAGCATTTGGATCAAGCAAGTATAACTAGCCAAACTTTACAATACATGGTGAAAGGATTTACAAAGCAGTTTAGAGTCCAGTAAAGTTACCAAAGCCTTAACTGGTTATCCTTTGGCATCTTGAGGACAGGAGTCATTTCTAAGTAATTACATAGTTTGTGGGAAGGAGGACTAGCATAAACAGAAGTGTTTAGACAAGAAACCTGGGTTTTATAGTCCCCTTTCTGCTAGTAACTTACCATGCAACCTTAATCTTGTGAATTTGTCTTAAATGGTATTTAAAAATCCTAGGAATTGCCATCTGTTGAGCACACAAAATGTATGGTAAACCAAAGAGACCATATATCAACATGGAAAATGCTTAATGCATCATAAACTTATGATGTAGTAAGATATGTTGTGTAATACACAAAAATACTACCAGTTGTGGGATTTTTTGGTAAATTTTGCAATGCATTCTTATCAAACCTCAATACCATGTTGGAAACATGTTCAGAAAGTAGGTAGGTTTGGATTGTGTTTCTGTGAAACCTGGTCTGAGGAGTTTCAGCTGGTCTAGTTATATCTATTCCACTATAGCATGTAACTCACTATTATGACCTTGTACAAATCTGTCTTAGACTAAAGACAGGGACCAGATGCTCAAAGATAATGGTTCCCAAACTTACTCATCTGCATATTGGAATTACTTGGGAAACCTTAAGAACACTGATGTCTGTGTTCCATCCCAAGATAGTGGTTTAGTTTAAAAAACAACTTGAGACATTCCCAGGTTGTTTAGTTTCAGACAAATTTAGGAACTGCTGTTCAAATACTTTTATGCTAACAAGTAATACGTTAAAAAAATATTTTGAATGGAAAATTTCAAGTGGAGGGTAAGTACACCTTCAATAAGAAGCCACCAAATCTAAAGTAGATTGAGATGATAAATCATGAAATACCAAAGTTTAAAAAAACATTTTTTAGTTTTATTTCAGCCATGTTAGGTTATGGATGAGCTGTGAAAAGCTATGCTACTTGTTAATAAACCCATCAATTCTAGTTACTACTTTGACCTCTAGTGTTCCACATATGTCAAATCAGTGATCATTTGTGCCTCACATACATACTACATCCTATGGTCACTGTCACATTGTCATTAGGGAATATTTGCTATTTAGGGGCGATGAAAGTTAACCAGTGTTTTATTTTTTTCACTGTCCTCCCCTTTCTCTTAATAAGTGAAAAGGATGCTACAAGAAAGCAAGCAATCAAACCATCAAAAAATAAGAAATTATTTTGAGATTTTTTTTTTTAAAATCCTGATATGAGGGGAATAAAATGACCCTTAGGCTTGCAGGGCACAGAACTGCTGGAACACAGCCAGGATATGAGGGTCTAATTCCGCAGTGAAGAGCAGGTTCTCCAGGGTCACCATATACTGCTGGATTATTTGGTGATGCTGTGGACACAGAAAAGGGGGTGTTTAGGTCTGGAAAGAGAGCACCTAAGCAGTCTTGCAGAACACTCCTCAGCAGCCTGCCCATGCCATACAGTGATGGGAAGAAAGAGGAAAAGTGGTTATGTTGATAGGACTTTACTTTAGGACCCCTGAAAAATCTGAACATTAAGGAAATGAGAAAAAAATGGATGTTCAATAACTTAAATCCAGTTCTGACCAGCTGTTGTGTAAATGCAATTCTTGCTTCCAGTCAGCACCTGCTGCTATTACTATAAACTGTGGTTCACCTGGGTCTTCTGGCCAATTAGAACAAAATCCAGTATAACTTTGAACAAATAGATAGGGAATTTGGTATATGTTACTGTTCAGGTTAAAACTGTGGTCTCTGGACCCTAAGAAAAAAAATTTTAATAAATCACCGCCTAATTCTCAAGTACACCACAAAATAAACCCAAACCTCATTTTTTGTCTCTTAAAGAGCTCATCTGTCTTACTGAAAAATCAGGTGACTTGTTAAGCCTAGGTGGAAAAATGTCAGAAAAGACAATCTTTTATATAACTTGAATATACTCAGAGATCCCTATAGGACAAGGGGCTGTTAATGCTTTGTAATTGGCAATAACTAATCTAGAGAGAATTTTTATTTGAAGGCTTAAAGAACTTTTTTTCCATTTATGACTTATGCTTTAGTCACTTTTCTATTACACCTAAAGATACAAAGGATTAGTTCCACACTCCTACCAATCTTTAAATCTAGCAGAGATTAGATGTTGTGTTTTGCTTTCTATAAAGGCCTCAGGGAATTTAACCTTGCTTCATTTAAAAACTTTAATGACTTATTTTTATAAATAACATTACTGTTCCCTCAGCATTTTTTCTCTACATTTTGTATTATTACAGTAGGCTCTCTAGCTAAGAGAATTGCAATTAGGAGTCTAAGTGATAATTTAAGCCTAAATATTCTGATGAACAACAGTAGGAGCAGATGGACATGAATGAAAGAGCTTATAGGCACATGGTATAAAAACAATATACTGAAGTCTGAGAAATCTGGAGCTTGTTTGTAGAAACTGGATAGACTAGGTAGTTATTTCCTACCCAACTGGTAGAATCTTCCAAGAAACAAGCATTCCTACTAAGTATTAAAGCATGTTGAGATATTACAGTCCAAAAACAGGTTATAACACTTGCTCTTTAAAGAATGAATCAAACATCATTACTTCCACAGAACTAAAAAAAATTATGGATTTTAAAACCATTCTATAGGCACTACATAATCTGACAAGTTTGATGTTTTGAAATGGAAAAATCCTTGTGGCTGAGCAACTGATATTTACTATCTAGTCAAAGTTTCCCACAAACCTGTAAGAAGATCTGCTGGAGCCTCTCTATACAGTTCTTATACCACGGTGTCAATACACTGGTCCCATCAGTTTCGCATCGTACTAAGTGCTCAGTCAAGATCATGATAAAACGCTGGAAAGGGAGTACAAAGTTACAGGTATTAGAGAAACAAACGCATTTCCCACCAACCGACCTCAGAGGCATTGCATTGGTTGGTCCACACTGTCTTTGTGGCATTCCTGACTTTCATGATTCAATAAATACTATCAGTCTAGACAAGCACACCAGTGATAATATAAATTATAAGTATATCATTTTGGGCAAGACATGAAGACCTTTAATGTTCAGATTACTTAGGCTAGTAAATTTTTTCTTAGCATCTATTCTAAGGTCATAATTAGAAATGCTTATAGGAATCTATGCACAATAATGTTTGTCAGGAAGGAAAACATCTAAATGGTCAGCAAATGGAAATAATTAAATGAGAGGTTCTTAAACACCACCCACCCACACTTTTAATTTTTTTAAAGCATAGGAAAATGCTCTTGCAAGATGCTCAGTAAACAACACTGAATGTGGAAGTATATACATGGTTAACTCCAAGTAGTGAACTTTTATTTCCTTTATAAATTTTTATATTTAGAGCCTTTATAAATGAGCATGTATTTATGATTTTATGATTAAAAAAACCACTTTTTAAAACTAAAGCAGTATATTGTTTCTTTTTACATATCAGTGTCCCAAGCCAAGATACCTGAAATATGACAAGGAAGAGGTTCTTTTGTTCGCTTTGAGCAGATTCCACTTTTTCCTGCAGTCTTTCTATTTGCTCTTCAAGAGCCCCATCTTTCCTGTCACTGCTTCTGTCATCATCATCACTTCGCTACAGAATGCAAAGGAATAAGAAGAAAATGCCATTTAGAATTCTAGTGTATTAAATCTTATCAAGGGGAAGGATTTTGTTGTCTGGTCAAATGCTATTTGAAGATGTGACGACTTGTTTTCCATAGCGAAAAGTACTCTATTGGCCCAAACACATATGCAGACACCCAAAAGTCCTGTGGGTACTTATCTAGGCCAGGTGTATTTAGTGGCACTTGTCTTGGATAATGGTGATGGGAGTGTTTGCTATAAAGCAGAAGTGAGTTATGCCTTTTATAAGACAGCCCACTTAGGGAGGAAATGTCTGTCATTTTTTTCTCCATTCAAAATGAAAACAGCTTTGAGCTTTATGGAAAATGTACACTTGATAGTTGTTGTTCAACATAGTTATGCAGTTGAACTGCTCTGAACCCTGAATTAGTGAACACTGAACCGCTGCTCCTAGGGGAAAGGGAGTTAGGTTCTTGGGAACCTCTTGTAACATTTTTATCAACTGATCAATACATAACCTTATTTTATGTGTCTTACAAATAACTAATTATGTACAGTATTTCTTTATTCTGAAACATTTGCTGAAAAGGATTTAACATCTCCCTGACCCTGAATAATGTGACTGTTAGGTATCTTTGGCTTTCAGCATAAGAATGTTTGCTGTCCACTATGCTTTTAGAAAATCATCTGTCATCTCATGAATCTACAAATTTATGTGCTTTCCACTGTTTCCATAAACTATAGATGTTACTTTATAGTACTTAATGGAGTAACTTCATGTAGGGATTGGGGGATTTCCTCTTCCTTTTCCTGGATGTATAATATTGCTGATCTGTGAACACTGACTTATGGCCAAGGGTATTAGAGCTTGTGCCTGAACAGAACTTCTCCACCACATGTATTTTCCCTGTCAGGCACATCATAGCCTTCCTGTGCTTAGGAACACTAGAGGACACTTCAGCCTTATGCTTGGGGGCCCTATTAAACAGTGAAGCCATCAATACAAAGCCCATCATAAAACATGACAAGAAAAAACATGAAAAATGTGGCACTAAATACATAAGGACACTTTTTTGCAGTATGAGAACTGAACGCAGAGTGTTGTTCCCTCAGCTGGGAACGAGCCCACTGGACAACTCATTTTTCACTGCTCTACGTGTACCTGCGAATGACTGGAAAAAGCACTGTGAGTATTGAATTAGGGGGTTACAAATAGATTTTATTGAGTAGGTAAGTTTGAAAAATAGAACCCACAAATAATGACGAAAGATAGTACTTTCTTGTAAGTCAGCTATTCATTTAACAAAGTAGATGACTAATGAAAAAACTGACAGTGCTTCTCAGTCACTGGCCATTGAGCAGTAACAGAAGCAGCCGGTAATCTTTCATCCACTAACTGGCCGTACAGAAAAGGTGGGCAGACTCTTATGCAGCTCAGGAACCAAATAATGCCTATCTTTGTAAATAGTTTAGAAATGGCTGTGACTACCTGTAATTATTCAGAGCAGACTGTTTTAAGACTGCTAGCAATGATGGGCTCAATACACTAAACCTTAACACCTCTCTCCAGCTCATCCTGAAGAACTTCACTTAGGTGCCTTTTTGTTGTTTTTTAAAAAGGCAGAAGATAAGCATAGCATAATTTTACAGATAAGGGAATAGACCAAGAGGTTAGATGATTTCCCCAGTGTCACATAGCCAGCAAGTAGCAGGGCCAGAAGCAGACTCCAGGGCCTTTTAACAAGAAGCCTATTTCCTCCTAGATTAACACTCTGTTGGTAGGGCCCTGTCTACGATAGTGTCCATTTCCACTCTTGAAGCAGAATTATCAGAACTTCCTGTTTTTATAGAATTCTGCTTTTATCTCTAACACAGCATCTGTTAGAACATCTGCCTCACTGTGTTTGAGGCAACTGGATACGTGTTTGTCTTTTCCTAACACCACACTAGGGCAAGGTTCCTTTGGCAATGTACCACTGCCCAACGGACCTTTCTGCGATAAGGGAAATGTTACACTCTGCTGTCCATCATGATGGCCACCAGCCATACATGAGCACTTGAAATGCAATTAGCCTGACTAAAGAACAGAACTATAAATGGTATTCAATTTTAACTAAAATTACGTGTGGCTCTCAGGTACTGTACTGGGCATCAACATCTAGAGAACAGTGTGGCATTAGGCAAGAAAGTCTCTGGAACTTGACAGACCTGAGCCAGGTCCTTGCTCTGTCACTTACTTTCACGGTGTAACCTTGAGCAGGTTTTGAGCCTCGATTTAGACATACATAAAATGGGGATGACATCATTTACCTTGCAGTATTTTAGGTTTGTCAGTGTGTGTTTATGTGGAGAATAGCACTTGAGCCTGCTGTGGGTTCATACAGGTCAAGAAAGTTGTTTCCACCTTCTACTTGGTAAATGTGCCTAACACAAGGAAGTGTCTTGAAGAATACCAGAACTATCACATTAAATCACAGGATACAGCCAGCCCACTGCTTCCCTCCCAAATGGCTCAGATATTAAACTCCTTATTAATACAAGAAATATCTTGTAAGCCTGGAAATGTCTGCCTCTGCCCTTCCTCGCAGAACTGCTGAAGTGAACACTGACATCTCCCTCTTGCCCTCTTGCATCAGAACCTCTTACAAAAATACAAGTGCCCTCTTTCCTTCTCCTTCCCTTTGGGGAAAGGCCAACATGAAACGGATCCAGAAATGGTGAACTATGGAAAAGATTGCTCTGTGGCTTCCTACGTAGGTTCACTATGCAGTGTAACAATAGAGCAACACACCTCAAGGTCTTTCCTCTACTTCTACAAATAGGCCTCCCTATTGGCCTCAAGGTAATGCACTTTGAATATTCTGAAGAGTTTCTGGAAGGTATACCTTCTTTGACCATTTAGGAATTGATAACAAGACTTACCCGTTTGTGTTGCCTCGCAAGTTTTTCTTTAGCTTCTTCTAGCTCCTTCTGGATCTTCAGAACATGTTTGTTCATCTTACGAATTGTGGAGTGCAAGATTTCCCAAACAAACAATCTTAAATTAATAGGGTATTTGGTTAGTGTATGTTAAAGTATGCTTATAGAAAATGAGAAGTCTTAACTTTCTTCTAATTTTTAATTTTGAACTGGACATTGACAGCTTAAGTAGAAGATAATAAAATAATCTGTTCATAAAACTCAAAGTCTAGGATGTTAGCAGACAGGATGAGAAATCAGAATACTTTAACTCTGGAAAGGGTGGTCAGGGAAGGCTTTAGGCTTGATGTTAAAGCACAGGTGGAGCTCTTGAGCAATGCCTTGACTCAAAAATGCCTGTATTTGAATTCTGCCTCTGCACCCAGTTGTGTGACTTCAGGCAAGTTACTTATGCCCTCTGTAACATTTTTCTATTTTGTAAAATATGGACAATAATGTAACCCTCCCTTGTAGTGTTGTTGTGAGGATTAAATGAGCTATAAATGTAAATCACTCAAGATAATGGCTAACACATTACTTGGGCAGTCAGTTTTCTGGGAGTTTGCAGATTGGAAAATGTCTTTCTGTTGTCATTTGTGAATGCCAGCTTGGTTGGTATGATAAACTCAGGTCACACCCTTCTACCCGAAGTATTCAGTTTATTTTAGATCAGTGGCCACTGCCAATAACAGATACAATGAAGACGAGAAAGGCTGTATTGAATTTTTAAATCTGCAAGTAATTTTTGTTTGTTTCCTGTTTTGTGTCAGCTCCTACTGTCGCACTCCTCACTAGTTATAAAGCTGTGGACTCAACTTCATGAATGAGATCCAGCCTAAAGAAGTCTTTTTCCTCTAGGAGGAATAGGTCTAGAATCAATCTTTTGACTGGTGTATTTCCATTGTCCAAAAACCTTGCCAAGTCCAGTCCTACCAGACTGGACCATTATTAGTATACTAGCATCAACCTGGTTTGGACTAGAACTTGGATCGCATCAATGAGACCACATGTAAACCAATTCTTAGAGAATATGAACTTTGTAAAATAATCCACATTACCTGGTGAAGTCACGAGATAGTTCTGAAGAGAAGATCCAGTTAGCTACTGCAGCACAGTCAACAATCTGTGTACGAATCATCTTATCTACTAGTACGGCAATCATCTACAATGAGAGAATTATTAGGGGTAAATCAAGTTAAATGCATTTAACTTTACACCTTAAGTAGGCCAAGATAACCTCACTGCTACAAAAGTAAAATAGGAGGTCTGTGAAATTCATTTTCAGTGGCTATGGAACTGACCAATTTGACCATTAGGTCTTTATAGTTACTCTGCTCGACTTTGGTACTTAGTTTAAGAATATTACAACATTAGTAAAGATTGAGCAAAAAGAAAAACTGAGTAACACTTAACATTTAAAACATTTTAGATAATTCATAAAAAAATACATTACCTCCATTGAATCCTAAAATTTTAAAATATAAATGTTTTATCATAAATTCTTAAATATATTCTGAAGTTTATTTTAATGCCTCTTTGTATAAAAACAATATACTGAAGTCTGAGAAATCTGGAGCTTGTTTGTAGAAACTGGATAGACTAGGTAGTTATTTCCTACCCAACTGGTAGAATCTTCCAAGAAACAAGCATTCCTACTAAGTATTAAAGCATGTTGAGATATTACAGTCCAAAAACAGATTATAACACTTACTCTTTAAAGAATGAATCAAACATCATTACTTCCACAGAACTAAAAAAATTATGGATTTTAAAAACATTCTATAGGCAGAATCAAATTTCATGTTTTACAAACTAAAACAGTGGTATTAACTGACTTATTTTTATACTTATAATCAGAGCCTCAACATGTCTCATT